AGTCGGACGCTCAACCGACTGAGCCACCCAGGCGCCCCTTAATAATCTTATTTCCTTTGCCACTTGCAGGTTTTTGCACTCCTGTATAAAATCTTTTCCCATCCAACAGGCGTATTGGCAAAATTCTGTTACAGATAGTGGCTTCCGTGCACTTAGTGTTTCCTTTAATAGGTCTGGAATCATTCATGAGGTAGGCGAGCCCAGTGCTAGATTTGGTCACCAATGAAAACAGACTTGCTCAATGGTGGTTCAAGAGAAGGGTAGAGTGCACGAATACATAAACCACTCTCCCTAACAGCTAAACGTCCCCGAAAGTTCGTTTCTAATGATAGGCAGGAAATCATTTGGCAAGTGTCTGCCTCGTGGAATAGTGTCTGCCTGGAGAGCTGATGATAACTCAGTGACTCTCTGGAAGAGCATTAGTTGACTCTGATGGAATAAAGAGGAAGGAAAAGGACATTTTTTTTTTCTTTTTTAATGCACTTCTTTAACTATAACTTAAAATTTGTATTAAAAAAGGAAATTTAATTATCTAATCTACAAATTGTCTTAGTGTTCAAGGTATATTAAAAAGAAATAGAACCTACATGTACACAGTCTCTGGGGAGTTGAGCATCGAAGGGCCAGGGTAGTTTTGTTTGTCTTAGGACTGCTGGATTTGAATCCAGAGATCCTCTCACCCTGACTCCCTTGCAGTCATAGCTCGGATGATAGTTCACTAACAAACATTCATTTATTGCCATATCCTTAGCTCTATGGCAGCAGGTTCCACAGGGTAGGTACTAATGATTATCCATTAAATGAATGAATTTGGGGGCCCTCGATAGATTGTTTGAACTGGTATATTTTCGTGACGAGTTAGTATTGCAAGAGTGGGATTTGAACTCGATGTCATTGTATTTGAGGGAATGCCCTGTGTCTGCATGCCTTCCTCCTGGGGAGATTGTTACTGGTGTTAGCTTATTGAGGTCCCTGCCGGAAAACGAGGGCAGGGACACACAGCACATGCCTGACACAGGCGTCACAGCCAACACATTCTACCATGATGATTGGGAGAAGTTACAGTAGAAAAAGACAAGGTACTTTGAGACTGTTGAATTGACCAACTAGAATATATATTGAAAAGGCATTATTGATGACGATGATGATGGTCAGAAGATGGATGCCAAAGTTTCTCTAAAAGCACTGTGGCTTCCCTATCCTTAAGGTTCAAAACATTCCTAACAGGTCCCTCAAGGCCCAGTATGATGAGGTCCTATCTCACCTTCCCAGCTTCGGGCAGCGTTATTCTTCTGGCCGACTCTGCAGGGCCACACGCGGGGCCCTGTGGGATGGTGTCACTATCTCCTTCTGGCTCCAGGTCTCTTCGTATGTCGTACACTGTGCTGTTTGGAACTCTTCTGAGCCCTCGGCATAAACTACTACTAATCCAGATGTTAGCACAGAAGTGACTTCAGAGATGTCCCAAAGCCCCCACCCTATACCTCTCCCTCAGCGATCCCTTCATTGTAATGGGACAATCGTGTAGTTAGTTGTTCAGCCTGTATCTCTTCTCTCAGGGCGTCAGCTTCATCCGACAGGTATCTGGCTTGTTCACCTCTGAATTCGCAGGTCGTTTCCAGAGAGTGTGGCCAATAGTAGGTGCTCCAGAAATATTTGCTGAAACAAGCAATGCTGAATGGATCATCAGAAGTTCGGCTAAAACTCGTTGTTTTCTTTTTCTCTCTTTAGCTGGGAAGTTATCAATTCCAAACCGGATGAAAGACCGAGGCTCAGCCACTGTATTGCAGAATCATGGATGAATTTCAGCCTATTTCTTCAAGAAATGTCTCTTTTTAAACAGCAGAGCCCCGGCAAGGCAAGTCTTTCAGTACAGGAGAATGACTGTGTGTGCTTTAAAATGTGCAACAAATTGGAAACGAATGAATTAACCTAATGTACCAGCTTGTAAGGGTTCTCCAATCCTGGATATAATATGCTAGGAACACATGCCATGAAGCTGACATTAGCAAGGTTCGGAAATGTTAGTGTGTTAACCCTAGAAAATCCTCAACTTTATATATTGAAATCGTGTTAGTTTTCTATTTTATGCATATTTATCTAACTCATTAACAAAAACGAATGATGATTGGTCTTATGGGCCAGACCGAGGAGAAAAAAATATCTTATGAGGAATTTCAGTTTAAAAGCAGACACAGTAAAAAAAAATACATACAATTACAGAGAACACATTGGTGGTTGCCAGAGAGAAGAGGGCAGGGCGATGGGCAAAATAGGTGAACGGGATTAAGAAGTACCAGCTTCCAGTGATGAAACTCACCACTGTGTTGTACACCTGAAACTCATATAATATTGCATGTCAGTTACAATTCAATAAAAAATGTCAGTTTATATTATGTAGGCCAGTGCTGAAGTCAGAAGGAGATGAAGTGAACAGATAGTCCTTTGAGGATGCTTTTGGAGATAACGGAGTCTCCCTTTTAGTCTAAAAAGTAGAGATTCTTGGTTTATTTAAAACTTATTTAAGAAAGAAAACCTCTGGCAAAGACACTCATAGGGATGATGTAAATGGAATGAGTGTTTTTCCAATTACGATGCAAACCCCTGGGGAGAAGTTTCGAAAGTGGTTTGGAAGGGATTATGTGGTGCACATCTTTGGAGTACTTGGATGTGTCGAGGTGGCTTCAGCTGTGATGGTGAGAGCATGGGTTTAAGGGCAGAACCATCAACAGAACCTTTTGCTTCTATGTCTGTGTTCGAGTTCCTTGAACCTCCGCCTGTAGTTGGAAGGAAGAGCCTAGGAATGTTGGTACAGCCTAAAAATCCCTCTGGTTGTACCATGTATGGGCAATCTCTTAACTTCAGTAGAATTGAGTAATAGAATTATGTTTAGACATATTTTGAGCATATTAAAATGGCAATGTTGTATATGCATGGATTTTTTTTTTTTAATCACTGAAGGTAATTCTTAGGATAGATACTCATGTGGTGGCGAGGGAGAGTTGCATTTTTGATGATTATTGATCATCCAATCATCAAAATCACTGACATGATTAAACACATTTTTAGAAGATTCTGAACGTAAAATTTGTGTGTTGGATTGTCCTAATGTGCTCTTAAGTCAGTTGGCTTAACATGATGATGTTACAAATCTAGTGGATAGTATGAAATCTCTTTCTGAAACTGAATTCTGGATATGGTCATGCTTTCATAGACTTATTCTTTCAACTTTTATGGTCTTTCCTCTTCCATTTTGCTATGAGAATTCCGTATTCTTCAACGGCCTTGCTGCTTCAGAAACAGCTCCTAATTTTGTTGCGTAAGCTCCTCTGTTCTTTTGACTAGTGAATTAATTAACCCAATGCCAAAGAATGGAAAATCAAAGTTAGTCTGAATTTTAGACCCCCTTAGTGTCAATCAGTTACTGATCGGAGTTATGTATCCTTTCCTTATATGGCTTTTTGAAATTCCCTTAATTTTGCTTCCCAGTTTAATGCCGTAACTTAAAGATGAATCAAAAGAAGAAAGATAGTTTATTTTTAAGAGTAGGATGAGGAAAACCTGTGAAGGGCTTTATAGGAGCATTTTTTTTTTATTTTTTCATTTTTTTATTTTTAATTTTTTTTTTTCAACGTTTATTTATTTTTGGGACAGAGAGAGACAGAGCATGAACGGGGGAGGGGCAGAGAGAGAGGGAGACACAGAATCGGAAACAGGCTCCAGGCTCTGAGATCAGCCCAGAGCCCGACGCGGGGCTCGAACTCACGGACTGCGAGATCGTGACCTGGCTGAAGTCGGACGCTTAACCGACTGCGCCACCCAGGCGCCCCTATAGGAGCATTTTTATCATGATGTTTAAATTTGTTAAAACAACCAAGATTTTGTTGGTCCTAACTGACAGAGAGAAGGAAATGAAGCACATTTCACTTAGGGAATTTCATTTCATTCCCAGCTGGTTTCTAAGTAACCTAGAAATGGGGTCAATCTGAGGGATGGATATGGTTAGGAAGGAGGATAGTAATGGCCAGTGGATTCATCCCAGCTGCTTATCAGCTGTGCAAATTATATTTATGTAAGTGCCTCTAATTTCTGTAATATTTTGCTGTGTTTATGAATTTTGATGAGCTTATAGAAGTAGTTTGAACTTGCAAGTTTATTTGCCAGTCTGCATTATTTTCAGTGACTGATCCCGAGTAAAAAAAAGTTTCTGGGGACATACTACTCTTCAGTTCTCTTGCATCTGGCAGGAAGAGAGCCACAGGGATGATTAATGGGAGATGTTCTCGGTGCCAGAAACGAGCTTCTAGAACCTCAAAATGATGGTTACTAAGTGTTAAAGTGGACTGAGGCTGGTTGAACACCAGCAGTCATTTGTCAGACCCGAGTACAAAAGAACATGGTTTGAACAACGTTTGCCGTAACGGGACAGATCGCATATAGATAACTAATTGGGTGTGTATCCTGTCCTCTAAAAGGTCTGGGAGTTCTGTATAACTGTCACATGTTGTTTCTATCATTTCTAGTTTTGTCTCCTGGTCTGCAGTGTGTGCACATTTTTTACGGTCTTGGGAAGTTACATTCCTGGGGTTATACTCAGCTATCTACTGTGTAAGTATAGTAGAACATTCGGCTGATTTATGTGATGCATATGGTATCATTTAATGGTCAGCAGGACCTTCCATAGTTTGGAAGAGGAGGGATGAGTTTTTAATTATAAAGCACATGGATCCTTCTTTAAGTTCCTGCTGTAAAAGGTTTTTCCTTTTCCTAGAGACCTGTACTGGTAGGGGGTAGGTACAATGGCACAGCCAGTTTGGGTAACAGTCTGGCAATTTCTTAAAAACTCTACGTGATCCAGCTATTCCACAGCCAGGTATTTACCCAGGAGAAATGAAAGTATACATTTACGCAAAGACTCGTATGCACATGTTCACAGCACCTGTATTTGTAGTAGCCAAAAACAGAACACAGTCCTTACGTCCACCCATAGAGGCATGGGTAAACAACCTGTGGCATAGCCATTCAGTGACCACTCAGCACTAATACGTTGATGTATGCCACAGTCTGGCTAAATCTCAAAATAATTAGATCGAGTGGGAAAAAGTCAGGTAAAAAAGAACATTTACTGTATGATTCCATTTATGCATAATTCAAACTAATCTTCAGCGGCAAAGCACACAGAGGGTTGCCCAGGGAGGAGGAGGGAGGGAAAGGCAGGGGAAGGATTAATGAATAGGAAGATGAGGAAACTTCAGGGGGTGATGGATATGTTTACTATCTTCATTGTGGTGATGGTTTCTTAGTTGTATGCGTATGGCAAAATGTGTCCGACTGTATAATTTAAATATGTACAATTTATTGTATGTCAAATACAACTCCAAAATGCTGTAAAAAAGTATAGATTTCCAGCTTGGCTTGGAAAATATGATCTGGTGCTGCCACCTTGAGATGGGACAGGCACTCTCCATTTAACTAACCCTCATATTTCCCTATTTTTCTTATACCAGCTTTTAAAATGTACATATACTTCCTTGGCTTCTAGTGATATTGGGGTTTGCAACTCCTATTTAAAAGGTAAATGGGCACATTTTCTAACAACAACAAAGAAATAAACACCAGGGAATACAATACATTCACGGTGTCCATCTTCGTTTGTTTTTGTATTCCTGGTGCATAACACCCATGGCAGCTGATCCAAGCTTACATCCATTCTCCCACGTGGAACTCATGTACATATCAGCCCATGATCTGCCTTGTCTAGGAAGTAAAGGAACAAAGAGCCGGGGAAGGAGAGTCTGATATGGGCAAGGCATTATTCAGATGGTTTGCGTTGGCCTCATTTATTCTTCACAAAGCCCTAACAGATGTTATTATCCCAATATTACTGATGAGAGGCTAATAGATAATAACTTTCCTATAGTGAAATGGCTTATTTAACAAATAAATAGAATGGAGATTTTAATCCAGGACTGTTGTCAAGAAAGCATGTAAGCTTTGTGTAATTGTTGAGACTGAAAGAATTGAAAGGAGGAAGTTGATGCGATAGCAAGTCTTTGAAAACAATGACCTTAAGCATAGTGTGGGTATGCACACACGTGCACACGCGCACAGGAGAAAATGTTTTCATTGTGGGAGGAAGAATACAAATGATGAGCTTACTTCACAGAAACATTTCTCGAAGTAAAACACTTGCATTTGTCAGTAAGGAAACTGAAATATTTTTGTGAAATACTAAGATGTAGCCTTTTGAAAGGAAGGCCATCTTACCTACGTTCTCTTCCCTCTTATGTTTCAGTATTGTGTGCATTTTTGTGTCCACTGTTTAAGTGTAATGATATTGGACAAAAAATATACAGCAAAATCAAGTCAGTTCTGCTGAAACTAGATTTTGGAATTGGAGAATATATTAATCAGAAGAAACGTAAGAGATCTGGTAGGTAAAATTTGAATTTTAGATACCGTGCATGGAATCAGACATCAGCTGGCCACTTATTATGAAATCAATTTTAATACATTTCAAGGCGCTTTTAGCCTTTTATTGCATATTATTACAGAAGTTAATCCCCCACAGTAATACAGCTTTTGCCTATTTAGGCTTTTATTTTTTTGTCGAACATACAAGAAATTGACTTTTTGATCCAAATTGTCAGGGGAAGGAGAAAAGGATTCAATAATTCTGTATTTGCTATTTATGATTTCTTTCGTGTAAGTTATTTTATTTTGGTGTGGACTATTGCAAATAAAAAAAACAACACTAGGGCTGAGAGCGTGGGAGCAGTGTAAGGGGATTGAGAGAACAAGGGGAGGAAAAGAAAACAGAGGAAAAATGAATGTAATCATTATTCACTACTGAACTTGGCCTATGACTTTATAGATTCTCAAACTCTAGCAAGCATCAGAATCACCTGGAGGGATTATTAAAGCCTGGATTTCTGGGCCCCACCCCAGAGTTTCAGATTCAATTGGTGTAGGGCGGGGCCTGAGAATATGCATTTCTAAAAAGTTCCATCAGATCAGCGATGCTGATGCTGCTGGTTCAGGGACCACACTACGAGAACCACTCTATGGACCATTTCCCTTGGAAATCAGACTTTTGCAAATACGTCGTGTGCACACATTTGATTATATGGGAGCATTGGAGACCGTGAGGAATGCGGGGTCAGGATATCACTGTATAATGAATGAAATGTACTGTCTAGGAAACTGAAAGCCTCTAAATTTTCTCTCAACAGAAGCAGATAAAGAAAAAAGTCACAAAGAGGACAGTGAATTAGACCTTTCAGCTCTTTGTCCTAAGGTATTTTTTTGTTTAGTTTTCAGTTTGTTCCTGGGTGGTTTGACTGTTAAGTTTACTTACATGCCCTCAAGCTGAATGATTTTCCTAATAGACTCCTCTCATTCCTCTAAGATGACTGAACAGTTTCAAAAGGAAAATTACTCATCTGGTTTTTATTATTCTGACATTCTTTGGTGTTCATATGGAGTTTTGAAAAAGATTTCTGTCCGAAGTTTAAAATGTGCCACTGCTATTTATCTTCACACAGATTAGCCTCACGGTTGCTGCTAAAGAGTTGTCTGTGTCTGACACGGACGTATCTGAGGTCTCCTGGACTGACAATGGGACCTTCAACCTTTCAGAAGGATACACTCCACAGACAGACACTTCTGATGGTATGCTCACATTTCTGCGTGCCCTTATTATTATTAGCACGTGCAAAAATATTTACCTCTGTCAACTGCTGAGTGGATAAACAAAATCCGGCATATCTACACGATGGAGTGTCACTTGGCTATAAAAACAAAGCAGTGACACATGCCACAAGATGGATGGGCTTTGCAAACATTATGCTAAGTGAAAGAAGCCAGACGCACAAGTCCACGTATTGCGTCAGTCCATCTATAGGAAATGTCCAGGATGGACAAATCCATGTGGACAGAAAGTAGGTTAGTGGCTGCTGGGGCTGGGGGAAGGAGGAAAGGTGACTGGTAATTAGTGTGGGTTTTTCGTCACGATGTAAATGTTCTGGCATTAGATAGTGGGGATGGTTGCCCCACTTTGTGAATATATTAAAAACCACTGAATTGTACGCTTGAAATGTGTACACTTTATGATCTGTGAATCGTACCTCAAAAGCTATTCCTTTTTTAAAAGTATGGAGAAAAAAATCCAAGCCAGTCAGTATCCAAATCTGCCTTTATTTTCAAAACAAATAAACAACCGACAGTGAAAACAATGAACTTGTGAAGTGTCTGGTGGCATTGTGTATGGCGACAGTGGAAGGAGGGGAAGAGACACTTTCATCCTGTGTATTCAGGGCTGGTCCCCATCAAAGAGGATTAAAGTATGGAGGACAAGCTCCCCAAATCCGAAGCTGACTCCATGGTTTCTCATGGTTTTCTTCAAAGTTAGTTCTTTTTTTTTTTTTTTTTAATTAGGATAAGTTTAAAACAGAGAGACAGTCTTGTACAGTAAGTTAATTTTTGCTAGTCTCCTTGGATTATTTCAGGTCATTTTAACCATATATTGAATACATGAGATTACACTGGAAGATTATGAATTGTTCTATATGTGTTTTTACAGGCAAGAACGTACTTTCTTTTTCTAGAGGAGGAGGGAGGCCATACAGTGTTTGAGAAAAGACAGGCTTGGAGATTGGGACACCCAAGCGTAGTCTTGCCTTGGTCATTAACTGTGTGACCTTGAACAGGTGACATGATTTCTGTGGACCTCAATTTCCTCAACTTTCAAGTGTATCAGAACACTCACGGGGTGCCTGACTGGCTTAGTTGGTAGAGCATGCGACTCGTGGTCATGAGTTTAAGGCCCACTTTGGGTTTAGGGTCTACTGAAAAAAAAAAAAAAAAAAGGAAAAGGAACACTCACGCTGTACAAGCCCTACATATCAAGATGAGGATAACAAACCCGTTGTTCTTAAGCATTCTGTCTCAGACTTACACAACAAAAGGGGCAGCAGTCATGCCCCCCACAAAGAAGGCTTTAATTAAATTGAAGACTTCAAGTTACTATTGTAAAGAGTTAACTGTTACACTGAAAGATTTTCTATGGAAAGTGAAAAACAATAAAATCGCTGTCTGCCTACTAACCTGACATTGCTTTCAAATGTCCCAAATCTTAAGTGATCCGATATGTATTCAGGACACGAGTTTGGTAGACAGGATATGGTCACTTTCAGCTATATTTATGGAAAGCGAAATGTTTCCGTAAGCTCTTAGGTTGAACATGGAATAGAAGGAGCGATACTTTCTTTTGATTCATTGCTTTAAACAAACATCGGTTACAGATGCTGAGATAGATCTTCACGGATGAAAATGCTGGGCCAGGATAACACTCACCATCTGCTGTACCAGAATCCATGAAAACCTCCAGTTGAAATATATTGTTTTTACTTTGTGATCATACAGCATACATATCCACATTAGCTTAAAGCTAATACCCTCCCTGGGGCAGGATGAAATTTTTGTTTATGATGAACATTTAAAACTGCAGTACATATATACAATGGAATATTACCCAGCCATTAGAAGGAATGAAATCTTGCCATTTGCAACAACGTGCATGGAGCTAGAGAGTATTATGCTAAGCAAAATAAGTCAGAGAAAGACAAATACCATATGATTTCACACATATGTGGAATTTAAGAAACAAATGAGCAAAGGGGGGAAAGAAGAGGGAGCCAAAAAACAGACTCTGAAAATACAGAACAGGGGCGCCTGGGTGGTTCAGTTGGTTGAGCATCCAACTCTTGATTTTGGCTAGGGTCATGATCCTAGCTAGGGTCATGGGATCAAGCCCTGCATCCAACTCCAGGTTGAGCAAGGAGCCTGCTTGGGTTATCTCTCTCCCTCCCTCTCTCTCTCTCTCTCTCTCTCTCTCTCTCCCTCTCCCTCTCCCTCTCTCTCCCCCCTCCCTCCTTCCCTCTCTTCTCTCCCTCTCTCTCCCTCTCCCTCTCCCTCTCTCTTTCTCTCAAATGAAAAAATAGAGAACAAACTTATGGTTACCAGAGGAAGGTGGGTAGGGGCGTGGGTTAAATAGGTGATGGGGATTAAGGAGGGCACTTGTGATGAGCACTGGGTGTTATATGTAAGTGTTGAATCGCTATATTGCACACCTGAAACTAATACACTGTATGTTAATTCATTGGAATTTAAATTAAAAACTAACATCAAGTCATTACATACACTGTTTTGTACTTAAGAGGAAAACTAAGGACGTAGGGGGGACATGTGGAATTTGTGCACTTGTAGAGAGATGGTCAGGTTTGCCTAGAGTGTGGGATGGACAGCAGATTATCTTTTAGACAGTTCTTTCATTTCAGATTCATCACGGTGCTTAAGCATGAACTTCTGTTACACATTCCACAGATCTCGACCGGCCTAGCGAAGAAGTTTTCTCTCGAGACCTTTCCGATTTTCCATCTGTAGAAAATGGCATGGGAACAAACGATGAAGATGAATTCAGCCTTGGCTTGCCCACTGAGCTCAGGAGAAAAAAGGAGCAGCTGGACAGCGGTCCCAGAGCAAACAAAGAGAGGCAGTCCGCCGCTGGCCTCACCCTTCCGCTGAGCAGTGACCAAACCTTTCACTTGATGCGCAACCTGGCCGGGGACGCCATCACAGCCGCAGTGACGGCTGCCATCAAAGAGCAGTTAGAGGGCGCCGCGAAGCAAGCACTCTCTCAGGCTGCCCCCAGCCCGGGAGACGACACAGACACAGAAGAAGGTGATGACTTTGAACTACTTGACCAGTCAGAGCTTGATCAAATTGAGAGTGAATTGGGACTTGCACAAGACCAAGAAGCAGAAGCACAGCAAAGTAAGAAGGCTTCGGGCTTCCTTTCAAATCTTCTCGGAGGAGGCCATTAGTCTGGGAATCAACTTGTTCAACACAGCACAGATAAAACTACCAAAAAATTATAAACAATGCAAAAAAAAAAAAGAAAAAGAAAAGGAAAAAAAATTTTTTTGAACTGTGGGCTTTACTGATTACTTCAGATTGTTTTTCTTATTTTCCCTTCTGCAGTGAATTAATTGGATCTATATCAGCTGATACTGATAGACTGATATTTCCTATAGTTATTTTTATGTAATAAGCATGGAAATGAACTTTGTATACGTATATATACATGCTGTGTTATCAGAGATGAATATTAGAGGTTGTTTTTAAAGCAAAACACCAACTTATTGAGATCCTCCTACACCTATTCCTTATTTTTCCTTTACAATTAATTTTTCAGGCATGCAAAAACTTTATTGTAACTCACTGAAATATTAACAATTCGTTGGTGAATACATGCGGTATCAGCTCCTTTGTTTACCGATACTTGGAAACAGTTAAAAAAATTTTGGTAGATTCTGATGTGAAAAACCAAAAATTATCAAGGTATCTTCAGGTGGAGGACTTGGGAAATATTAGCAAAATTAATTTCTTAGGAAAAAATTTTAAAAATATATTTAACTACTTTGGATAGGCTGATACATTTCCATGTTATTTCTGCAGTTATAGACTTAGGCTTACCTATAAATGGCATGCTCCATGGACTACCAGCTCTGGTCTTGCAAACGGGTGGTATTAACCCATCGAAAGCAAGTAATTATATATCACATAGACAGTGGTTTTGATGTAAACAGAGGTTGGGCTGTGTTTTGTTGTTCAACTGTCATATATTTGTAATAGAGATGTTATGAAGTGCAGGTATGTTCTGCCTGCTCAGACCTAAGTTAAACCCTCATCTTTCATATTATGTCATAGAAAAAGTCTCTTAAAATTGTGAAATTAGTTCCTGATACGTTCTATGAGTGGCATTGTCATCAGCGGTAGAGAGACAAGAACTGTTTTCGTAGTCTGTCTTAGAGTTTCCTAAAGGAGAGAAATTTGCTTGGCTTTAAGGTGTATTTATTTGCTATTGAAGTCTAAATAGGTAACCTGTTTCTCATTGGGAAGCTAGAATATATTCTTCCTTTATTTTAAACTTTTTTAGATCACCTTTAAATAACCAAATTTGACTTAGGTTTTTAACAAAACACTTAGCAGAAATCAAGCTAATTTTGTTTTTGTGATACAAACTTTTAATAGTGTTGAGGGACCATGTCAGCCAACTACCAACAATCCCTTCAGTCTTCAGGTACAGCTGGCATTTCTACAGACGCATGCAGACATCTGAGACCCTCAGAAAGGAAGGATAATCCAAGAATATAGGAAATCTGTGGTCTCTTCCCTTCGTTTTACCCTTTCCTTATATTTCTAAAGACTGTAGGTAATCTTATGTTTTAATGTAGCATCTCTTATTTATTTTTTCTTTCTGAGGTATTAAAATATCTAGACTGAATTTTGCCAAATGTTAAAGGGAGAAAAGTTACTGAGGACTTTGAACACTTGCTTTTTGTGATTGACTATGCTTATATGTCATCAGTGCCTCATGACTGTGTTTGATGTCCTTTATTGATACAAAGTGAGCCTGTGCCTTCATTATCTTGCCCATTTTGGTACAAATGAAAACCTGGTGTTAGATCAATGAACTGTGTGGGTTAGGGAGGAATAGACCTGAATTCTATTCAATACAAGTTTCTGGACACAAAGAAAAATACAGTCACATATTTATGAAATAGTTGTCACCAGGATTCTTCTTTTTTAAATTTTTAATGTGCATGTTTCTGCATTTAAAAAGCATCTGTGGCCATTAAGTCAAAAAGTGTACAGGTCATTTCAATTTCTTCACTGAGGGGAACACAAGAAGATTGATCCAAGTAATTAAAACGTGTTAAAAGTCACTGGACAAGCTTGCAAGAAGATAAACTCAAGAGTTGGTGGTATAAGCCATAAAGATAGGATCATATATTATAAACTATAAATTAAAAGGGATGTGGGGATGGCAAGGTTGGTAGGGTAGAAAAATGTGTAACACTTTCGAGAAGACATACTAGCTCTCTATGGAGAGTAGCATTATAACCATACGTGTACTTCAATATTATTTATTCAAGAACATAAGTGATTACAGATTCACACAATTGATACTCTTTGATAATGGTACTCTTAATTCAGACAAACAGGGATGCCGAAGGTGTGTGTGTGTGTGTGTGTGTGTGTGTGTGTGTGTGTGTGTGTGTTGGGGGATATATTTCTGATTTCAAGATATAGTAACAATAAACCCTGGTGACTGATCCAGTACCCTGGGAACTATTTATCCCTTATCATGAGGATTTCTGCATTCATTAAAAGGTGAAACGTGGATTTTTTTTTTATTATTATGTAAAGGAATTGTAGAAAAATGCTTTGCTCTCTTCCTATAGAAAATGATGAGCAAAACCAGACAATGGGAATAACACACACCGATCATGCATTTTGACCTAAAACGATAAAGCAGGGCTCAGAAGTTCAAGCTTGCTTTGGAAGGTCAATCCAGGCCTAAAACAGTGTTTATATTCTCATTTTGGATCATCGTTGCTTTTTCTTACCCTAAAAATCTTCAAATGTGATTTTTAAAAACTGTCCCCCTTCTAGTGTGGCAGAATATTAGGAAAAGAAACATTTATAAGGCTTTGCAATTAGCAAACACCCTCAACATATTTAGGCATATCACTCATATATTTGAAGTAAGTGCAACTTTTTTCCTTTTAAAAAAATGGCAAATGCCAGTGTACTAGCGATTTTAGGCAAGAAGCAAATCTACAGTCAAGAAAAAAAAGTGACTTAAACGTTTTCCTTTTCTGTTTATAATTTTGGTTGATGTAGTTCTTTACATCACTCCAGCTATATTCGTTACAAGATAGGAAATTATTCTGAAAACACTTACTAAACTGTTTTCATAGGTCATTTGTGTCATGATGAAGCTAGAAAGTCTCAGAACTATATTTTTGTGTATTATTCCTCCATTTCCATTGCAGCATTTAAGGTGGGATGAGAGGTCATTAATAAAATTAGGAAGCGAACTATTCTGTCATACGGGGATGTTTTTAGAATAAATGGAAAAACGTCTGAAGCATTTTCAGGGGAGAAAAAGGCTATATAAAACCAAGACAGTGAAGTTTTTTCCTGCCTGTGTTTCAACTACGCCATCTTTTCAAACATTAAAACAAAGTCAATCAATAAGTATCTGCTTATAAGAAAACTCTAAAGTTATTTCAGTGGGACTGGCACTATATTGGCCTCGTAATCCAATAAATGCTATGGAATAAAAAGATGAAAAGTGTTGCAAAAATGTCTTTTTTTTCAGTTGACTCTGGACCATGTGTGAGGTTCTACACTAGTCATTTTTAATGGATCTTACCCTGGGAGACTCCAACTAAGTCACATAACATTTGCACCTGTTTCTTTCATCTATGAAATTAGCACCTGCGTCTCATAGTGTATAATTGTCTAAGACGGGGTTTCGCAAACTATGGTCTATAGGCCAAATCTGACCTGCCACTGTTTTTCTATGGAATAGCAACTAAGAATGCTTTAAAAAAAAAAAGTTGAAATCCGAAGAATAATTCATGATGTGTAAAATATGCAAAATTCAAAATTTAGTGTCCATAAATACAGTTTTGTTAGAACACAGCAACGTTCACTTATGTACTGTCTATGGCTATTTTTATGCTAAAGAGAAAAGCTGTACAGTTGTGGCAGATAATAGTTTTAGGCCTACAAAGCCTAAAATATTTACTATCTTGCCCTTTATAGGAATGGTTTGCCAAACTTTGGCCTAATACATAGAAAACACTCAGTTATAGTTAGAATCATGTGTAATCCTCATGACTCTACACTTAAGTAGTAGGAAGAGCATTTTTCAGAAGGACAAGGTTAGATAAATTATCCAGTCACATAGCTAGTAAGGGGGAAAGCCAGTTTGACCGCAAAGCCTATTCTCTTTCCAATATGTCACATTATCTAATATTTTTTGTTTTTTAATACATTAAGAAAGATCATAATTTTAAATAGCTTAGCAGAACTTTACTAAATACTAAAGACTGTTTTTATTTTATTGAGATTATTTTTTTCTCTTTCCAAAGAATCCGGAAACCAGCTGATCTATACTATTTTAAATGCTCTGATAACCCAAGTTTTCTCAATTCTTTAAGAATATCTCAATTCTTTGTTAATCTAAGAACAGCATATCTAGATACCCAAAAAACAAGAGGTAGTAAAATGTTTTCAAATTGTTTACTGAAAATCATAATTTTTTACTTAACATTTTTATAAATGCAAAATTCATAGAAATTGTAAACCATTTAATAAATGTTAGTTTTTATATTCTTTGTTACCACCCCAAAACTAATCGCAAACAGCCCAATCCCCTTTAGTTTTCCTTTTAAAAACCAAGTAGCTATTGCAATATGGGTATATGAAAAGTAGTAAGCCTGTCACAAGATAATACTGCCTATCAACACCAGTATCTCAATTGACTTGAAGATGAACCTATTGCCTCTTACTTTAAATTTTGTAATTATCAAAAATCAACATCCCAACATTTTCCAGCATTGAAAAGGAAGCACATCTTCATGGACACTGTCCCTTTACACTGTATAACATAACTTCAGTAGTTTGGCAATTAAGTGAAGCTCGTGTATCTTAAGAGCTATGTCACAGTATCCAGAAAGAATTCTAATTGTTAATATTTTTCAAATCTAAATCTTTCACGTGGGCAGTCTCAGTTTAAATTCTTCAGCAAAATGATTAATTTGGTAAGAAACATTTTTTATAGCATTGTCAGCAGAGATCAGACACATTAACATAATTCTCTGAATGTACTGAAGTTTAATGCAAGGTCTCTTGGTCAGTCATCTTGCATTTACCAAGGAGCTATTGGCTATAGACCTGCTCCTTTCTAGTATTTTTTTCCAACAATTCCAGATACTGCTGCTGGATCTCAAGGCCCCCTTCTATT